AAAATTCACAAGCATGTCTTGTTGGGGACTGCCATGCAGGCAGGCATCTATTATTCTACACTTCGGAAGTGAGTCTACATTTCTATCTCCGTTAATGCGGCCCTAACCACAATATCTACCCCCACAAAAGTTATATCAAAACGACTGTCTCGACCCCGTGATGTGTGCTATAACATTTATTGGCATTTCAAGTTACCATGGCGAAGTAATTTGCGAACAAAGACGCAATATTTCACCAACTCCAGGAACTAGTTGGTGACTGCCCGCTTATTATTCTACACCTGTAAAGAGTATCTTTTTCAACTTTAATGTGGCCCGAAACACAACGTGGACCTCCACAAAAGTTATATCCAAACGACCGGCCCGGCTACGAGATGTGTGCTATTACTTTTATTGGCAATTGGCGTTACCATGGCGACATATTTTGCTAACGAAAATGAAACATTTTCCATAGGAAATGAATAGGAGAAAACTATTCAAAGAAACTGAGTAACGTCGGGAGCCATTTTGGTTCAACATGCATGGAAGGCACCTATTATCACCTATTATTATTATTATTAATGAGTAAAAATAATAATGAACTTAAATTATTAATGATTCATTTTAATAATTACACGTAACATTAATAATTACTAATATTAATAATTGATATTTAATATTAATTATTAATATTAATATTATTATCAAATATATTAATAGTTTATAATAATTAATAAATTGACACTATATTAATATTATTATTTATTAATATTTATTATTAATAGTAATTTAATAATAAATAGTCAGTCCCCGTCAACGTTTCTCCAGGAACTTTCTAGTGTTAAATTACAATTCACGTTCAAAAATCTTTACTCACATTTACACAATACACAAAAATGAGACCTGGCGCAAAATTAATCGAACTGCCGGCAGCAGATGTGTTTAACACCGTTTCAGTAACTCAGCCTTTTGCGACACTGTTAGGGTGAAGCACACATTTAGTGTTTGTTGCTGTTCATAAACTGGTGCTGCTGCAGGTTTCCTCCAGAATCACATCATGATGCTTTGAAGTTTCAGTTTAATCATTTGTTTGACAAAAACCAGCTTTGTTGTAACTTACAACATCTTTGATCAGATTCTTGGCATTAGCTTTTGGAGTCCACCTTATTTGTCTGTTGGCAGCGTATTCCATGAACCACTGGATGGATTTCTATGAAATACTCAGAAAGTCATTAATTGCTGTATAACTACAACTGATTAACTTTTGGACTCAACCATATTCAAGATGGCTGCCACAGCTAATTGACCTTAGGATAGTCAAAAATAGCTATAGCTTAGTGGTTTTTGCAGATATCAAGCTAAAATTTGGCGTGGTAGTAGTTGAGAGTCATTCACAACACATTCTGAGTGCTAACAGATCATAAGATCACCTATATACTGTAAATGTAAGGTTTTTGTATAAATGGCAGACGGCATGACTACAAATGAAAGTAATTTCAGCATTGTTGCTGCTGCAATATGTATTTCTGTGGTATGAGTAAATAATAGTTTCTGTATGTGTTTTGATATTTCTGTTTTTGTACACAAACATTAGTGTTTAAAGCACAATGAGCAGTTTGAACAATACGTTTTTTTTAAATGGACAGACATGTTATTTATTCATCACTATCAAAAGCAAATAAAAAACTGTATTCAATTCAGCGTACTGTAATTTTTACTTTTTTAATTAAAAAGTGTGAAATTTAGCAAAACATTCATATAGTTCAAATTAGCTATGCAATTAAATTAAAACTAAACAACAAATTTTCTTAAAACACTTGAAAAGTTGTTTCACGTTATTTAATTTCATTTTCTGTTGCAATAAGATAACACTAATAAATATTCATCTTTGTTTAATTGTTTTGTAATTTATTCACTTTTTAATTGAAGTATTCCTTACTTTTCATCATGTATGTTTTAAATAAGATATTTTTATATTTAAAAAACTATTGTTTTGCTTTCTAAGATAAACTATTTTACATTTTACACCTATAGAATATAAAACGTATAAAAGTAGTAGAATTAAAATGCAGAAAGTATATTTCTTTGGTTTCTAAACGGCAAATAAACTATTTTGATAAATTCAATGCATTGTAATTTCTTTGTATTTTGTAACAATGAAATTGTGTTTCATTAATCCACACATTCAGTTTAATTTGAAAAATAACAAAACGTTTAAGTTAACAAAATAGGATTGGTAAAGTCAATATTACCAATAAGAAAGGTTATTAATATAGAAAATTAAATTCATTTATTTATTTTAAATAAATCAACAATAATAAAACTAAATTGTTGTTTTGTTTTACTGTATTGTAAGTTATTAATTTAAATTAGTTTCCCTGTGTTTTGCACTTTAAAGTATTTTATATCAAATATTAAATGTATTTAATTTTATATAATTCATGTGATTTATCTGTTTAAATAAAGGTTGAATTAATAATTTCATATAATTAAACCGTTTTTCTTCTTGCTTTCTGGACTCAACAAATTTTATATATTTTTTTATCTCATGGGATACAAATAAAATAAAATAATAAAACAGAAAAGGTATTAAAGTAATTCCCTTACGTCATGTGGAACGTATTCTCTCATTTTGTTTCTACGGACGTATTTAGGCGTGACTCAGTAAAGTTATGTCAAAATTTTAGTTAGTTCCGGTTTATATTTCAAAATAAACCATGGAATAAGCTAAAACATTTTAAATAACTAACTAAACTACACACTACATGTGTTTTAATAGGTATATACAAACTAAATAAATACGAAAACGTCATCCAGGAGACGCTTTATAACTTATAACACTGACTTAAGTTGTTAAACTTAAATAAAGTAGGTGACGTAACCGCTGCAGAGAAAAACGCGAAGCAGCCGTTTCCGGTGGTGTAACGAGCTTTACGGATGTCCCCCACGTTGTCGGCCCTGCTAAAAAAAAAAACAACAAAAACACGTCGAGGTTTATTCAGCTATTCACTTCAGAGACAGAAACATGGTGGGGAAGATAAAACATGTCCGCCAGAAGCTTCACCAGGAGGCTGTGAAGCTCTCCCGGCCTGAGAGCTTCTGTCAGCCCGGCACTGCTCGGCTGCCCGACACTTTACTGAAGCCTCCATCACTGGAACCACAGAGGAAAACACCTGAAGAAAACATCCAGAGTCACTCTGAGGGGCCCAAACAGGTTCGTTTTATAACATTTAGACATTTTAAAGGGTGTTGATAGCTAAAATACCGACATAACTTTGGAATAAATCAAGCTAAGAGCTCACAGTTTAATGAATGAACTGTAAAAGAGATGTAACTATAGCTAAGGAACATCCGGTCAGTGGGTCACCATGGTAACAGTACGGTAGTCTGTCTGTCAGTCCCTGAGTGGACTGGAAAGTAAGCCTCAAACAAACAGGGGCGGACTTAGTTTTCATTGGGGTGGCTAAATCGATGTTCCAGTAAGGGGGGGGGGGGGGTTCACTGTCACAGGAAGTTGACTTTTAGCATGTATGCTAACAAATGTTTCAACAGTTGTACGCTACAAAATGATTTTGATTAAAATATAAATATATATATATATATATATATATATATATATATTTTAATGATACCAAAATGTCTGCGTTTAAAATGGTAAATCTGTGATTTTAATTTTTTTTTATTTTAATTTATCCTTATTTATTTTTTGTACTCAAATTATTCCCAATGGGGAAATACATTTTCTGCATTTTACCCATTGCACATGTGACAGTGTTGCCCCCCCCCCCCTCTAGGGGAAACACTGTGAGCACACATGTGAAGCAGTGGGCTACCATCTAAGCTAAATTTTGTGATAATTAACTTTGTGAATTTCCATTAAACAAAACAAAATGTTGCAATCCTTCACTAAAACTGGCATGCTTTCTACATATTTAAAAAAATATTTGTCACGAAACGTTCAGCAAGTGTTCTGTACTCGTTACATAATTCCTATTGATGCCACACACTTGTGTACTACATAAAGTGAAGTAAGATTTGATAATACTATTGAGAATATATATTTGATGTATGGTATTAACGCACAATTGCAGATGCCCCGATTTGTAAAGGTCGGTATCGTCAGAGAAAAACATCTATTGGTCGACCACTAATCATGTCAGTTCAGTCACGTTAAGTCCAATTTTCAGGAATTGAATCTACAGTTCACACGGACTCACCAAAATAGGACAATAAGAAATTGGGAAACATCGCCCGGTCCTTTGGGTCTCGATTCACCGAACTCCAGTGGCCTCCACAGTCACAGCCAGAGATTCACATCATGAACAACATAACGCTCTATCATGTCAGTATAGAACAGAATCTCGGAAGAATGTTTCTAAAAATTTGTTGAATACTTGACTAGATTAATTAAGGAAGTTTTGAAGGGGGTCACACACTCTGTATTAGCAAGTTGTACCTAATAAAGTGGCCGGTGAGTGTTTGAGCTGTTGTGCTTCACAAATGGTTGGCTTTTTTTTAATACAGTCTTTTGCTAATTTTGTCTATGCACCACTAGTCGCATCTAAACAGCATGTTTATGCGTATATTTTGCATGTTTTATTGACTGATCGGTGAGAAACGAGACAAATTGACCTTTGACCCCCATGTGAACTCACTTTGTAAGAAGGCCCATCAGAGAATGCGTTGTTCTCGGGAGATCTTTGGTTTTAATGTTGATTTCACGTTTTATCGAGTAGGGCGGCTGTGGCTGAGTGGTTAGAGCAGTCGTCCTCCAATACGAGAGTTGGGGGTTCGATTCTACCAGCAGTCACATGCTGACGTGTCCCTGGGCAAGACACTGACTGAACCCCTAAATGCCTCCGATGTGTGTCCCCATCAATGTATGAAAGTGATAAAGCTCTGATTATTCTTTGTATAGATCTAGTATAGAGCTGTATGAATGGGTAAATGAGGACGCAGATTGTTGTGTAAAGCGCTTTGAGTGTCTTGATCAGATAGAAAAGCGCCATGTAAGTGCAGTCCATTTATCATGTTTTATAGAGTCTGGACTTTCATCTTCATATGCTGGTTTGGGTTTTTAACATGTAAGAACAGGAACAAGCTCGGGGGATGGTCAGGATGTGCAAAACTGCTGGCATAGCCCGACAGAACCTCACTGACCTACACAAGGTGAGGTCAGTGAACAAGGCCAGGCTGATTCTGGCAGATCCTGATCACCCACTCAGGTTGCTTCTGTCTGGATGCAGGTCTCTGCAGCCCAGATGTAGAACAAACAGACGGAAAAACTCATTTATCCCTGTAGAGATCAGGCGTCTCAATGAACGGTGATGATTCACATATTGTTATTTTAGTGTCTTAATGTCTTGTCTAGTATGGATGGTTTATGCGTACTGACTGTGAAACAAATTGCCCCTTGGGTATAATAAAGATTCTTCTTGAACTCGAAACATTTAGAACAAAATTATATTAAAGGGGCTTCAATTAAGGGTGCACCGATTGCAGTTTTCTGGTCGATCGCCGATTTCGATTTTGGCCGATACCGATTTTTCAGTTTATTTATTAGCGACACTGTCAGGTGTTATAAGGTCACAGTGCACCTTCAATTTTCCAATCTTATTTTATTGAAAACCATACCCTTGAACAATATCCTAGAAACAATACAAACTTGTTTTAACTGGCCATGAGGTAATAGAAATAGAAATGAAGTTTAGACAATTGTTAAAACAAACAAAAAAAAAAACGGTAAAACCGGTTTCTCGTGCAAGTATCGGCCGATTTCCCCAAATTTAAGGAAATCGGGGACGATAAATTTATCGGCGCACCCCTAGCTTCAATGTTTTAGCTCCTTCGTTAATGAATGTTTGAGCCGAGCGATGACTAGTTTTCTATAAAATGAATCAATCGAAACTTATTCCTTTTAAATTGACAAGTAGGAAGTCACTTTTAAGAGTATAATACCAATGCGTTGAATAATGCACGGGATTGAAAGGTGTTTATTTGTGGGTATTCCCCTCCCAGGTTCTGGTTCAGAGCTCCCTCCCCTCCAGCATCTTTGCTGGCACTAAGATTTCTCCAGAGGCCCTGGTTCAAACCCTGAAGTTTGAGGAACTTCCACGTGTTGCCTTACCTTCTAAGAAAGGTAAGACTATCTGATGTTTACCTACTCTTTCTGATGCCTTGTTCCTTTACGGTTCTTTAAAAATCATTCAAAGTAGCGCGTGGCGTATACAGACATGGACAAACTTGTATGTTTTTGCTACATAGAAAGAAAAAAACCACAATGATGCCTGAAATATTTGAAACTGGCAACAGTACTAAAAACAATAAATTTACTAAAAACCATTTAATCAAAATCAGACATAGCTTTTGGATTTGGATTCGACAGAGTTATTAAAAACACACAAATGAGTGGAACTGGCTGGCCTTGACAAAAACTATGGTACTCTCCTTCCATCCGATCTGATAGGAAGAAACGTCACTCGGAAAGTTGTATTTCAGGGGTGAGAGGTGTGAGCGACCATTTTGTGTTGCTGTTGAATAAATAAAGATCCTATTATTATCTACTGGTATCTACAAACAAAGGAGCCACACAAAGAGAGGCGAAGATTTTTAAGGAAGCTTACTTGTAAGGGCAGACGGTCACGAAAACCGGCTTTCACAGATGTACAAAGGTATGTGCTTAGAGCCTCGTCGTTGAGAATCTGCACCGGACTGTGAGGCAGGAAGTGTTTTTATAAAACACGCTTAAGATGACCTCGGCTTCCCAGCTTACAGACTTGGAGGCATCCTTGGACAAGAGGAAAAACAACTCTTTAACTCACACACATTAACATTAGTTGGTGACAAACATCCATAAACCTATACCAAAATTCCCTTGACAGTCGCCTCAAGGTCCTGGAGTTGTACAGATCCTGTGGAGAGGCCAGAACCAGCAGAACTGGCCCTCTGCTGTCTTTATATTTCTTTGGCAGTGGCAGCAGTGTACCCGACTATTGGAAATGGTGGAAACAGACGAATAGAAGCAGGCCATCACTGTTTTTGAGAGGCTCAGTATCTTCAAAGGTCACAGGAAGTACAGTCATGGGGAAAAGACAATCCGATCTTCAGTTCAAGGTTTTATGTGTCAGGATCTAATAGAAATGCTCTGGTCTTTACCAGGTGCTTTAATTATTCAAATTTAACCAAAAGTGTACAAATATGCACAATGACTTCCATTATGTTTTTATTCATGAAACAAAAATTAAACCAAAGTCCACCCAAAACTCTCAGTCGTGGTTTTCTTTAATACATCTGTTACATGGTGGCGATGGACTTTTGGTCCACTCCTCTTTACACCTTTGCTTCAGTTCTTTTCAGGCATTTTCAGTCTTTTTTTCCTTATGGTCCCATTATGACCTTTAACCTGCAAACAGAAGTCTGAGATGGAGCTCATTTCTCGGCACCATCTAGGGTTCAAGTATTACTCCATTTGAACACCAGATGGTGCGCAAGATCCAAGCTGTGGTAAAAGTGCATCAGAATGCAGTTACTGGTTTGTGATCTTTTGTTCTCTCCACTTCTTGAGTTTGTAGTAGGATTCATTTTCAGCTTTCTGTAATGGCAGAAAACTGAGAAGAGATTTTCAGGAACGACCACACTAGACAGTAAAGGTAACATCTTCATTTTTGGAATGTGAAAGTGATGAATTCAAGGTTTTGAGTCGATAAGTCACAAGAACATTTTGATAAAAGAGGCCGGGTGCATTCAAAACAAGTATTTGGGTTTTAAAACTTTTACAATAAAAAATAAAAATAAAAAAAACCTTTACTATAAAGAAGGGGAAAAAATCTCAAGAAAAATGTCATTTAATAAGTATATTGCAAAGTAAATACTATCGTACTTGCCGTTGTACATGTCGCACCGCCGTATAAGTCGTATCTATTATGCGTCTGTCACCGCTGATCACCCAGAAACGTGGGGCCGGTGTCGTGCCAAAAATCGATTGGCTGCCAAATGGCGGCCGCGGGAGCGTGCATGGAACGACTTTAACAAGAATTTAACCAGATTAGCACTTAAAAATAGGGATGTGCGATATGGCATAAAATTCATATCACGATATGTATTGTGAAGGGTGGCGATAACGATATATATCATGATATGTTTTTGGTATAAAATTTGCAGTAGGAATGGAAAAAAAGTAAAGGGTGTCCTTTTGCCATCGTTTATTTTGAAAACTGCTATACCACAAAATAATCTCAATTAAGAAAATTCCAAGTCCAGAGTTTTTAAATTAAAAAAAAAAACATCAAGTATTAGGCTTCTTTCTTGTAGTGCAAAACAGTGCAAAATATATCAAATGTAGTTTTAGCCATATGTTTCAAACAAAATAATATGTTGTTAACTCTTAACAGTTTCCAGTATTCTCACTTAAGAAATGAACAGCAACAGATCAGCCAGTGCACGCTGAAACACTTCACCCTCCAACCCTCTAGTGGGCGTCTCCTTCCGCTTTAATGGAGAGCTGACACAAAATGGCGACCAGTTTCCTCTGTGGCTTTGACCAGAGGGTCTCGCAGTAAAATCACGCAACACAGAAAAATTGTGTAACAGCTGGTGACATATTCAGTAACAGCCATATGATACGCATAGCACTTTAACTTATATTAAATGAAAAGTGTTAAATGTTATTTATTAGCATTAGTCACCTGCGATGCTGTCTCACTTGTGGAGGCTTGTTCCAGGTTCCTAGCTGCAGTGTGGGATCCTCTGTGCTCTTGTGCATGAAGGACAGCCTTTTTAAGTTCAAAGTTTGTGTCTGTCCATTGTGCCGTAAGACTAATCATGCTAACGGGGCTAACACTACGTCCAAATGTCTGTGATAAAACTCACCCAACAAGTCGTGCTATCAGCTATTAGCTTCTCAATGACGTCGGAAATGACGGCTTGTAACTCGAGTAACGTTACGTCAGAAAAATATCTCGGACTGCGGACGATGTAGCGATGCTCAACATAGTCCATAAATCTTCGGAATCCGACATCCTCACCAACGAAAAACAAAACTTCCACACCGCCGGCATTTTGAATTTTCCTCTCCGCCGTGAGATTGGGTAGGCGCACGTGACGTCATCGCGTTGCGCTGCCGCCGCAGGCAAAGACAGCGCCTTTTATATCGGCGAGTTATTTTCATGGAATGGCCGATGTCTGATATTGAAATTTAACTTTAATATTTACCGATACCATGCCGATAATATCGTGCATCCCTACTCCAATTATTTAACAACTAAGAGGGATGAATACTTTTGCAAGACACAAAGTCATTTTGTTAGGCAACAAAGCAGGCAAATGCCAATGTAGGGTGAATATTTTGTGTCTCACTGTAAGAGGCAGGATGATAAAAAGTCTAATGGGACATTCAGTCCAGATTTATCTGGGTTGGGGAGGGAGTTGCCTCCATTCATCCGTAATCACAGCTATCCATTTCCTCTAGCAATGGAAAGATGATTCTCTCTGTGGGAGCACATTGGTGGTAAAGCACCCTTCCCACCTTCCATCCCTCCCCTCCCTAACATGACCCCCCCACCTGCTTTTGAGCGATTAGATTTCTTCACCTCTGCCCACATTTGTAGTCAGCAGCAGATGCCTATCTTTGCCTGTTCTTACTGCAAACAGCAGCAGAAACACTTCTGTTGTTTAGCACTGCGGTGGCAGATAAAAGCCTGCCGAGATCTCTGGAGTGCAGAGGCTACGGCCCGTTTAAATGGCTCCTACTGATACACCAGCAGATGTGCAAACAGAGAATCACCCCCTTAGTAGTTACGTTATTGATTACATTTTTTTCTCAAAAATTGTAAATTAAAGGATTCAGTCCTGTTGTAACAATGCAGCAGAGTTAAGTATGTGAGTTTTAGCCCTTGAAAAATAAACTTAACCTTAGTTATACACTGCCTGGCCAAAAAAACAAGTCGCCACCTGGATTTAACTAAGCAAATAGGTACGAGCCTCCTATTGGATAATTACTGCATGGGCGATTATATTTCAGCTGGCAACAAGTTATTTAACCCCAACTGGTGCAATGAGTTGCTTCTCATTTCTTAAACAATCAGGTCGAAAGGCACATGGCGTGGTCGTGGAAAAGATGTCAGTCTGTTTGAGAAGAGTCAAATCATTGGCATCAAGCAGAGAAAACATCTTGCAGAAACAACTAAAATTGGGTTAAGAACTGTCCAACACATTATTAAAAACTGGAAGGATAGTGGGGACTCATCGTCTTTGAGGAAGAAATGTGGCCGGGAAAAAAATCCTGAATGATCGTGATCGGCGATCACTTAAACGTTTGGTGAAATCAAATAGAAGAAAAACAACAGTAGCATTCAAGGCTGTGTTTAATAGTGAAAGTAAGAGCATTTCCACACGCACAATGTGAAGGGAACTCAAGGGATTGGGACTGAACAGCTGTGTAGCCTTAAGAAAACCACTAATCAGTGAAGCTAACTGGAAAAAAAGGCTTCAGTTTGCTAGGGAGCATAAAGATTGGACTCTGGAGCAATGGAAGAAGGTCATGTGGTCTGAAGAGTCCAGATTTACCCTGTTCCAGAGTGATGGGCGCATCAGGGTAGGAAGAGAGGCAGGTGAAGTGATGCACCCATCATGCCTAGTTAGTGCCGAATCATCAATGCAAGATCTTGGTGAAAAATTAATGCAACACTGGATGGAAATAGATCTTGTGACATTGCAGAAGCTTATTGAAACAATGACACAGTGAACGCATGCCGTGATCAAAGCTAAAGGTGGTCCAACAAAACATTAGTGTGTGACCGGTTTTTTTTGGTGGCGACTTTTTTTTGTCCAGGCAGTGTAGAAGGTGGGTGAAAAATACATTCTCATCTTTTGGTTTTGTTTTGTTTCCTTGCCTTTGTTTGCAAGTAATGGTTCTAAAAGCATTGAAAAAAATCAGAAAGCGTTGTTAAACCAAGTCCTAGATTTATTTATTAATCTTTACTTAAGCAGGCAAATCCCATTGAGATCACAGATCTCTTTTGCAAGCGAGGCCTGGACCTGAAGGCAGACTACCATGCACGCTTTTTGTCTGTGGGAGGAAACCCACGCAAGCACGAGAAGAACATGCAAACTCCACACAGAAAGACCCCAGGTCCAACGGGGGATTGAACCCAGGACCTTCTTGCTGTGAGGCAACAGTGCTAACCACTGAGCCGTCGTGCTGCCAGATGTATCTTCTGTGCATGATTTTAGCCTTGGATCGATGTGTGCTACCATTTACTCTTGTTTCCACAGGCACAGAAGAAAAGAAAATCAAGTCGAAGAAAGAGAAAATGAAGGAACGGAGAGAAAATTGGCTCAACAGTGAGTTTTTAATCAACACTCAGCACTTTGGGGAGGAATGTACACGATGCACTGTTGACATATGCTTCATACACAGCAGGAGAGTGTTTCATGTTCTCCAAAAACGGAGTCCAACTCCACCTTTAAATCACAAATTGAATTTTTGAAAGTTGAATCCTTGGATAATTACCATACCATACCATTTTATTCATTTATTCAACACCAGTTCAACAGCCCTAAATAGTGCAGACTACCACAAGTAGTTCAGTTCAGTTTATTTATGTAGAGCCAATTTACAACAAAAGTCATCTTAGGGAACTACACACACACACAAAAAAACCTCTAGTCTAAATCATAAATCCTATTCAAATATAGGTTAAAATCTAGTTAGTCAATTCAGTTTCTACTACAATGCAATACAGCAAAGTCCATGCTCAATAATCCAGGTATACAATGCAATACATTCACATACAGCACATTGTAAAAGGTCAGTTAATAACTAGCAGTTCAGCATATTGTGTCGAACCTTCAAATTGCCACCGTCCTTGACCCTGCTCTGACATGGACTTCATAGACCAGTTGCAGGAAAAAACAAAAACAAATGTTGCATAAATTAACTAAATGGGAAACTGTTTGGCAGGGCTCTCATGGTATTTTATTTTTGTCGACTGGTGTTCGAGGAGGACGGGACGGAGTCACGTCTGTGTTAACCGCCTGCTAGTTTAGCGTTACGTTGCTGCCGGTTTTTATCAATGGGGAGGGATGTGGAGTGGTATGTCAGTAGCATTTTTGCTAGCGCGTTTGTATTCTGCCCCACGCTATATCAATACCGACAGTTGTTGACAGGGGTTTGGTAGGCAGGGCGCTTGGTTCTGTTGACTGGGTGGGGCGCCCCACTTGTATAATGGTAGAAGAAACACTGATGTTTGATGCCAATCTACCATCTCTCATCATAACCAAAAGTCCATACCTATAGTGAAGCATGGTGGTGGCAACATCATGCTGTGACAACGTTTTTCCATGAGCTGGGACTGAGAAACCAGTCAGAGTCAAAGAAAAGATAAATGGAGCAAATTCTTGAAGAGAACCTATTGGAGTTTTCCAGAGATTAGAGAGTGAACGGCCCTGGATAACCCATCCGAAGCAGCACAATCGGCTCTCAGTGACGTAGTTGTGTAATGAAAATTGTGTTATTTTGTTTTTAGAGTAGCTTTGTCCACCCCTTCTCAAAACAAGGCCTGGGCAGAACTTTTTCTCACAGGTGTATGCGCCAAGTATTGCGTGATTGGTCACAAGTTTGTGGGCGTGTTTGTCATTGAGCTCGAACATTCAGCTGTATGACAAAAAAATGACAACACTAAATTAGTCAAATGGCCCAAATCTCCTGGATGGAGATTGTGCAGACATTGTGCATTGAGAAGTTTGCCTGCTGAAAAGTTTGGCACTTTCTTCATGATAGATTTGTGGCCAAATGGTGGATGAAGGGACGGAGTGGAGACTCTGACAGGAAGAAACACATGCAATGACGTATACTGCAGCGGGAGGGGTTTCCCAGGAGCTCTGTGCCTGTGTCTCGTTGACTCTGAAAGGTGTGTGCGAAAAGGAACATGCGCAACTACATGACCGCGCATCAACTGTTCGGCTTAGGATGGAGTATGCTGGGCCTGTGAGATGTAGGTCTACCTTCCAGGAGGACGATGACCCTAAACACACCACTGAGGGACAACTAGTTAAAGGTCCTGAAATGGTTCAGGCAACTCCCAGACATCAATCCAACTGAGAAGTTCTGATTTGATTTAAAGACTGTTGGACACAAGCAATAAAAAATGGTCAAGATAGCCCAGATTATATGGACTAAGATCCTAGAGATGGACCTGAAAAGACTTTTCACTGGGACTGCTGAAAAAGGTGCCTTTACTTACTGTCTCACTGTATTGTTTGTCCTTTAGTGTTTTTTTCTCCATAAATTGACACTTTCTGAATGTATGTTTATTTTAATACTGTTTATCCACTCAAATGCTTGTTTTTACCACTGTCTTACCAGAAATCTTGGCAAATATAGCCTCCTTCATCATCCACTTTTACGGGACACATTTCTGTCGAGTGATAGACCAATTTTTGGATTAAGGTCTATTATTGTGTCTTTCATGCCTTCTCCCTAACACTGCCGTTATCGTCTCCAGTAATTGGCATGAAGCTTGTAACCGTACCCTTGTGCTGAACCAATCAATTCTTCAGTAACACAACACGTATCTTCTTCAGACATATAATTAGGTGCTAATGGCCGCTGTCTCAGTCTTGTTGAAACCCAAGCCCGGCTCCACGAATGACAGTTTTCAGGAATTATGGAGAAATTAGAATGACAGCTTATTTAAAATGTCCTCAATGTTCATGAAATGGAACAAAGCAAGTATTTGATGTTTATGTTTTGTGGTGAATTGAAAACCAAAGCACCGAACTGATGGCGTGGACTGATGTGAAATTAAAAGTTAGAACGTAATGACTTTATTTTTAAGGGTTCCAACCTTTTTTTCATTGGTATCAGCAATACCGCCATCTTTTTGGATCTTCTACCCTAATTAAACCTGAAAGAGTTGCCATGATGCAGAAAGTGTAAAGTAGTCAGTGATTTACGCTATATTCTTCTTTTCTTTTGTAAAACTTGACATATTGGAGCCATTCAAAAATCGTAATGTACAACAGCTTCACTCTGCAAGCTCAGCACTACGCAACAAAGTCCATGCTCAATAATCCAGGTATAAAATCCAACATTTTTCCGTCAGGTCATCTGGACAGCTTCTTTTTTTTTGTGCTGAAACATTTCACCTTGGATCCGGAAGGCTTCATCAGTCAAGGAAACACACAACAAAACTGATTCTTCCTCCAACAGCTTACTCCAAAGTGGAACAAACCAGTTCTGCTTGTGATAAGATGGTCTCTTTGGTACGCCCCTCCTCCATTGCCAGCCCTCTTCCTTGTTGACTTCCTTGTCAAACTGGTTGAAAACAACAAAGTCAATGCTCAATAATCCAGGTATAAAATTCTATATAAAATATAAAAAGGAAGAGGGCTGGCAATGGAGGAGGGGGCGTACCAAAGAGACCATCTTATCACAAGCAGAACTGGTTTGTTCCACTTTGGAGTAAGCTGTTGGGGGAAGAATCGGTTTTGTTGTGTGTTTCCTTGACTGGTGAAGCCTTCCGGATCGAAGGCGAAGCGTTTCAGCACAAAAAAAGAAGCTGTCCAGATGATCAGCACTACGCAGTTTTGATAGAAACTTATGTCACAAAATACTCTGGATTATATAATAGAAGCTGGATTTTCATTCATTCATGCTGAATTGTGCATGTCACAAAGATCTGACCAAATTATCAGACTATTTTTTACTCAAAGAAACAAAAAATAGTCTGATGAATTGGCCTGTTTGGATCACTTTAAAAAATAGCTATCAATGCTTGCTCAAGATGAGAGTTCTGCGATGAAGTTAAACTCAAAGCATTCTGCTTCTCAGATAAATAGTGTTAAATTATTATTTTTGTATATGAATGTTTCTGTTCAGTGCCCTGAGATGACTTCTGTTGTGACTTGGCGCTGTCTAAATAAACTGAATTGAATGAATTTTTTCTATTGGTTTTCAAGGGGGTGGCATGGTGGCTCAGTTGGTAGAGCTGGGTGGGGGTGGGGGGGGTGCAATAGACAGGGCTCTTCCTTATCTAAAAAAGTTAAATCGGGTCCTCTGGACATTCAAAAACACCACACAAAAAAAAAAAAAAAATTGTTGAAACGTTTTGTCTTTCATCCGAAAGACTTCCTCAGTCTGAGGTGCTGTATTCAGCTCAGTCTTATAAAAGTGTAAATAAATAATAGCTATTTATAAGACTGAGCTGAATACAGCACCTCAGACTGAGGAAGTCTTTCGGATGAAAGATGAAATGTTTCAACAATTTTTTTTTTTTTGTTGTTTTGGTTTTTTTGAATGTCCAGAGGACCAGATTTAACTTTTTTTTAGATTTTTCTACCTGGATTATTGAGCATGCATCAGGAGCTTTTCCTTAGTTTACCCATTTCCCTAAAGAAATTTGATGTTGGCCTACTTTGATGCCAAATGGGGGAGTCAAATTCAGATAAGCCACAGTTGTTGATTTTTTTTTCAGGCAGTCTGTTATTTCTCATCAGCCTTGAGTCCTGCTGGTACTTTTGATCCAAAATGGCCATATTTGTGGGCATTCCATTGGTCTGTGCTTATGAGCCCCCTCTAAGGTCGTCCCCAACATGCTGGCGAGTCCCAGAAGCCGCAGGTGGCTTGCGATTCTCACAAATCGCATCCATCTTACAGTTTAGCTCGTAAATCAGCTGATTTTGAGTGCTCGAAGCACGAACCAAACCTTCACACAGACGCAGCAGTTTTGCAATGGCAGAAACTGCTGCCGCCATCTTTTTCAATAGCCGATAACATAGGTGTCCTCCGGTCCCAAAAAGCAGAAACCCTGCTATCATGATTCCAATTATATAAACATCTTCAGCGTCCTCCCGAGACAATACAGAAAACATCAGCTTCCAAACTCCCCACAGATCCATGACGTATCCTGCCGCGTGTGTCTCAGCGGGGCATGAGGGCTCTCCAGGACCCTGTCGCTTTGTTGAAAATATTTTATCGATTGCGTTGAAAGTCCAGCTGATCAGATCCATGACAGTAGTTTTTTCGTTTCGGAAGATGTGTAAATAGAAGCTCCGATACACAAGACAGAGAGCAAAAAAGCAGGAGGAGGACGGGAGAGGGAAGAAAAGGCGTCCGCCTCGCACAAGAGCGAATGAGGAACATGATTGACATGACTGTGAGATTTACGTGAGATTTATGATCTTTATTGTGACTCATTTCTCTTCTGTGGCCTCTCTCAGAGATCAGCTTCATCAAGAAGGCCAAGGAGCAGCAGGAAGCTGAGGCCCGGCGACGGGCCACGCCTGTGGTGGGAGACATGAGGCCACTGGCTGACGCTTTACCGGAGCTCTGTCAGCTCATTGGCCCCACTGCCGCACCTGTTACATCCTGCCGAAAAAGCAGGAAAAACAAAACGTAAGTGCCAAATCATTACTCTGAAAGCCAACATCAGTTGTCAGAATGATCGCTCTTTATTTCTTGTGTCATCACAACTGAGTCAGAGAGCAGCGTCAAGGTTGGAAGCTGCAGCATGTGGAAGTGTTTCTGCCTGTGTGCATGTGTTGATTTTTGTCTGTTAGCAAAATATCTTATGAACCATATGATAGCTTTTAATTAAATATTTTAGAAAGTAATTATTTGATGTACCACTGATCAAATGGTGGACTCAACTCGATTCAAGATGGCTGCTACAGCCAGCTCACTTTTGAAAAAACAAAAATGGAAATAATTTGGTCGGTTTAACTAATACTGAGTTAAAATTTGGCGTAATCAAGTCCAACACATCTTCTGAGCACTACATATTGTGTAAGGTGTTTGACTAAAACATAGGCATTAACTATTTAAGTCAATGCCGTTAGCAAAATATCTCATGAAAAAAATCTAGAATTTAATTAAACTTTTACAAAATTATCATTGGATGCAACTTATTAACTTTTGGAGACAACCTCATCCAAGATGGCTGCCAAAGTTAAGTACAACATGGTTCATACTTCAGTATGAGGGTCGCAATTAGGTGTGAATTTGGTAGAACAGAAATTAATGACAAATGCAAAATACAGAAATACAACCACACTTAGTGGTGGGGAGGCTCCAAAGTACCAGGTTTTATACAACAAGATAAACATGTTCACTGTTTAAAAAAAGCATAAATTAAATAGTCATAGTTTTTATCCACTCTAAACTTTAATGTGTCCTGCAGAGCATGTGTCCACTCAAAGTTTGAATTATTGCAGAAGGATGCCTTGCCGCTTTAGAAAATAAACAAAAATAAAACACAACAAAAATCAAGGCAAGTTTGCTTTTGTTATTTTGACCAAAATACAATTCATTATAAAACTTGTTATCCCACAATGTGAAAATGCAAACGAAAATGCTAAAACGCGTAGTTAGCTTCTTGGCTAGCTCAGTGCTAGTGTGGGAAAATAGGCTAGGCATCAAGGAAATAATAGCGTTTCCCCTACCATTATATAAGCAGGGCGCATCGCTCTGTCAACAGAACTGACCCCCCCCCCCCCCCCCCCCAACCTCCCGACTCGACAACAGCCGGCACTGACGTAGCGCTAAGCTAGCCGTGCGAAATACAGATACGCTAGCTAAAAAGCTACATAGGTAATGCTCTGCTTCTCATGCTGAACCCTCTACAGCAACCCCCCCACCCCCCACCCCCCCGAAAGACACACATCTGGGCTGCGTGCTGTTTGTACTGAGTTTTTGAGCGGGGAGAGGGGGAGTTCGGTTAGGTAGGCGGGGCACTCGGTTCTACTGTTGACAGGGTGGGGCGCCCTGCTTGTATAATTGTATTGCAGCGCACAACACAGACGTTTCTCTCTCTTCACCCCCATCCCTCATAGACAAAAAAAAAAGTCACGGAAGAGATGAGCTCCCTGCCAAGGCAAGTAAACTAGGGGAAACACTGAATGAACTCATTTCACCTGCATGCTTCAAAGCATAAAATATTTGACATAACTGCTTGCCGTACATTCTTTCTTGACTTCTGCTGCCATCCATGATCACTAGGACTTAGCTAAAGATCAAAGTATGTTTTGTGGATCACTCTCAGCTCAGTGTCTGTAAATGGTTGAGTTGTGGCGGCCATCTTTAGTGGTATGTACAGACGAACAAACATTTGCAAAAACATAATTGCTCCACTTTCGTCGTCAGGCGATAAAATGGACACCTACTTCTAGTCCCAGACTGGAACCTGTTCAATGTACACCTCCAAATCATACTGTTTGTACCTTTAACATGTATCTGTCTAAATAATGTTGAACTAAAATCACAGCGTTTGCTGTTTATCAGTGTGTTCAGTTAAACAAACTTCTTTTTATTCTGTCCTGTCCTTTCAGGCCCGTGAAGAGACCTCAGCCAACTGACTTCAGTCAAATGAAACGGTCACAGAAACGTAAACTCCTGTAAGCTGCTACTTCCTGTTTGCTCTTTAACTTCACGAACGATCAGCGGTGAGCTCATACTTACCTTTGGTGTTTGTTCTGCCGCGCAGGGAGGCCGAGAGCAGTCGGTTCATCGATGCCGTGAAGATGCTCTCCTCCAGGAAGAACCCTTTGGTTGACATCGGGGAGCAGCTGAGGAAGAGGATGAGGCAGGAGGAAGAGCAAAGCTCTGGTTAACAACAGTTGAACTCAGACTGAAGTTCATCCACAGACATGAACAGTTTGTGTAGAAAACTTTTATATAGCCCAAAGGACGGCACGCCTGTGACCTGTCGGCTGAAGAGCGCTACTTGAAAACTTTGTGTGTATTCGTAAATGATGCCTGTAATTTATACCCTTGTAACGTTTTCTAAGATGCAAAATTTGTGTGTTTGGAAATGGGGCCTCATTTCTTTCAATATACACATTTGTTTTTAGTTGACCCCGAGTCTAGTGTAACTCTTTGCGTTTTCCATTCCAGAGAGGTAAGTGATAGTCAGTCTATCACCATGATAACAAACTCTGAATAAACCTTCTCCCAAGCAGGTTTACCGACAGTATCCCCGAGTTTTTACCAATCTTCTTCCAGGTGAAACATCTGCGCAACGAGTTGTTTATTTTAAACTTATCCAACAGGCCCAGAGTACTTTGTTTTTATTCTTCGATATGTTTCAGTCTGAATCACGCATTTATTCACAGACCAGTGTTTCCCCTACTATTATACAAGCAAGGCGCTAGGCCTGTCACGATAACAAATTTTGCTGGGCGATTAATTGTCTCATAATTGATTGCGATAAACGATAATATTGTTTGAAATTTAACAATAATTGTCAAATTTTAGAAGAAATGTTGATTTGTTTTGAGTGTAGTACCTTTTTTGACCACCTGATGACAGTATAAGACTGTTTGAATCGGAGGATGGGTAGTTGAGCAGCGTGTCTCTTTAAGAAAAATGGGAGGGAGGGCCCTTGACGTGACATGGGGTGACATGGCGGACGCTCGGTGATTTGAGCTCTTTAGCATAGCATTTTTCACGCACAGCTTTTAATAAAAAAAACAGTAAACAAGTTCTCAGCTTCTTTTTACGGAGAAAAACAACTTTTACGCCAATGCACGGGTTTCACCCGTGATTTTTGGAGCTCGACAAGCCGGAGGTTTATTCTCGAGGTCGGCCTGTTAGCTTATCTCGTAGATTAGCTTCTCAGCTTAGCTGCTTTTAACGATTCAAAAATGCAATTTTGGACAATTAAAACATATTTTATAGAGAAACGGGAAAGGGAGGAGTCAGTGAAGAGCACCGGAGTTGAGCCGTGTCTTCAGAAAGAGAGAGACACGAAGAAACGATAAAGCCGGTAAATGAAAATGAGGTTGATAATTTTAATTCATCAAGCGATTAATTGATTTATTGTTTAAAATTTATTGTCTACAAGGCGCCCCGCCCTGTCAACAGCTCAGAGCGCCTTGCCTACTGAACCGAACCACCACACCCGTTAACAACTGCCGGCACTGACGTAGCGCTAAGCTAGCAGCGCGCAATACAGGCATGCTAGCTAAAAAGCTAGAGGTAGCTTTCCGTTTCCCTCATGCTGAGCCATGTCCCAACCCCTCCCCCGCCCCTTGTAAACTTTCTGTACAAACTGCACGCAACACAGACGTGTCTCAGTCCCCCCCCCCCGTTGAAGAAAACCATGGAAGAGATGAGTGCCCTGCCGAGGCAAGTAATGTAGGGGAAACACTGCAGTGATAAATTTGTGCCCTTTTGAAAGAATTTACAAAGATGGCTAAAATAACTTAAAACGGATCAAAGTAACAAATTCAAAAGAGTTACGTATGTAAAACCAGTCTTTTGATATTTGGTTCAACAGAATTATTTTAAAACCAAACTTAATTAAAATGATCTTTGACTAAAAGGACGGTACTCTTGATATTTTGTTGCACAACTGTTTCAGGCGACCATTTCTGTAACTGAGACTTCTGCACCTGTCCTCGGGTATTCTGGTCCACTGCTCATGAACTAACTGCTCCAGCTGTCTCGGGTTTGAAGGGTTCCATCTCAAGATGTTTCAGCTCCTTCCACAGATGTTCAACAGGGTTTAAGTTTTAGTCCCAAGGTCTTGTTCTGAACCATTCATGGTATTTTTAGCTGTTTGTTTTGGGTCATTGCCCTGTGACTGAGACCAAGCCTTCTGATGCTGAGCAGCGCATTTTACCCCAGAATGCCTTGATATTCTTGAGATTTCATTGTAGACACCCTGTGTCGGATGCAGCAAAGCAGAACAGAACCGAGTCACCTTCAGGGTTCATTTTTGGCTCTGGACATACAGACCCTTTCCAAAAAATTAGAATATCATGGAAAAGTTGTTTAACTTCCATAATTCCATTCAAAAAGTTAATCTTTAATAGATGATAAATTCAGGGCCCACAATTTAAATGATTTCAAGTATTTGTTTATTTTTACATAATTTGGGCTTCCAGCTTATGAAACCCACGAAAACAGGATTTCAAAAAATTATACCATACCATGCCAGTTTATTTATAGAGCACTTAAAACAGCAACGAGGCCAACCAAAGTGCTGTACAATAGAAACAAACAAGCACAGCGGACAGGAAAACATAAAATAAAAATATAGATACAACAGAGAGCGAGGGACGGCAAGCCCTACACACCGGCGCCATCTTGGAAAAAAATATATAATACTGTGAAGACATCAGCCCACTACTCAGTTTTTGCAGATAAAAAAGACATTAGCATCACAACAAATCAATCAAAATATGGTACTTTCACAACAATATGTCAATCTTCAATACTTGGTTGGGAATCCCTTTGCCTTAATCACTGCCTTGATGCGACGTGGCATGCACCTAGCCTTTACATCACTACAGCATTGAGTCAATCAGCCTGTGGCACTGACTGGGAGTTATGGAAGCCCAGATTTCCTTGATGCTGTCAGCTCTTCTTTGTTGTTGCTCTGGTGCCCTTCATTTTCCTCTTGAGAATACTCCATAGATTCTCAATGGGGTTTAGGTCCGGCGGGTTGGCTGGCCAGGCAAACACTGTGGCATGGGCATCAAACCAGGTTTTGGTGCTTCTGGCGGCATGGGCAGGGGTCTGGTCCTGCTGGAAGATGAAATCTGCATCTCCATACAGATCCTCAGCAGAAGGAATCATGAAGTCCTCTAAAACATTCTGGTAGACTGTTGCAGTGACCTTGTATTTAAGAAAGCAGAGTTTACCAACACCTGCACCGGACATTGCACCCCAAATCATGACTGACTGTGGATATTTCACACTGGACCTCAAGCAGTATGGGTTCTGTTCCTCACCCTTCTTCCTCCAAACCCTTGGACCTTGAATTCCGAATGAAAGGACACTTTACTTTCATCGGAAAAGAGGACCGAGGAACCCAACAGTTGTAGCCCATCTCTGGCTGCGTCTGAATGTGGTAGTTTTTGAAGCTGTGACTCTCGCCTCATTCCACTCTTTCTGGATCTCTGCCAGATTCTGGAATCTTCTCTGTTTGATAATCCGCTGAAGCCCACGGTCATCTCTTTTGCTGGTGCATCTTCTCCTGCCACATGTTGCCCTTCCACTAGACTATCCATTGATATGCTTGGACACAGCACTCTGTGAACAGCCAGCCTCTTTAGGTATGAACTTTTGTGGCTTACCCATCCTATGGAGGGTATCAACGATGGTCTTCTGGCCAGTTGTTATGTCTGCAGTCTTCCCCATATTGAACCGAACTGAAACAATTGAACCAAATTGAAGCAATTTAACAACACCTGGGGAAACCTGTGCAGGGGCTTTGAGTTTAGTAGATGATTAGTGTCACACTCAGTTTAAAACATTCATGTCCTGCAACATTTGGGCTGATTTCTCCACGGTATTCAAATTTTTTGAATTCCTGTTTTCGTGGGTTTCATGAGCTGGAAGCTCAAATTATGTAAAAATAAACAAATAAATACTTGAAATTGTTTAAATTGTGGACCCTGAATTTATCATCTATTAAAGATTAACTTTTTGAACGGAATTATGGAAGTTAAACAACTTTTCCATGATATTCTCATTTTTTGGAACGGGTCTTTAGATCTGATGTGACGTCAAAAAGTTTCAGTTTTCTCATCTGTCCAAAGGATGTTCTCTCAAAAGCTTTGTAGCTTCTCAATATGTATTTTGGCAAATCCCATTTTTTATGCCTTTGTGTCTCCAGTTGTCTTCCTTTAAGTCCACTTTGATGCGAACAGTTACAGATGGTATGATCTGATGAACGTTGCTCTTGGAGTTCACCTCTGATCTCTTTGAAAGTTGTTCTGGTGTCTTTGAAGAGACGGATCGTGTGAATGGTAACCAGTTGGGCATAAGTTTTCCTCTTGTGGACACATCCAGGGAGGTTTTCCTGTGGACCTTTAATCTTCTGAATATTCTGTGCAGCTGTGGTCAGGGGAACGTCAGTCCACTTGGAGATGGCTTTGTAGCCTTTACTTTGACATGATATTTTCTTTCTAAACTCCTTAGACAACTGTCATATCTGTATGTGGTCCATGTTTAAAGTGTTACACACCACGCTATCAAACAGCACAATGACTACTTTTCACCTTTAAGGCTGTGTTGGATAAAAATATCCACTATTCATCTTAATTACTCAAAGCAGTCACACTTGAGGACATGAGAATTGGTTTTTACTTGCAAGGGCAGACACACTCACATGCCCGGTCGTGAGAATCTGCACCGGACAGTGTGCGAGAATTGTTTTTATATAATATAGTGTAAACGCTTATCGGCTATCACAGCTCACAGGCAGTCCATGATGACCTCGGCCTCCCAGCTGTACATGCAGGATCAAACAGCTCCTCTGAGAGAAAATAACTCAGAACTCGCACATGTTTCAACATTAATTTAACATTGGTTAGTGATAAACATCCTTGACCTGGACCAAAAATCCCCAGACAGGCTGGCTGATCACAAGTTTTGAAGACACCTTTGTTGCTAATTACCGGACACATTGTAGTTTAACATGTCTTTCTCCATCCATCCATCCATTTTCTTCCGCTTATCCGGGGTCGGGTCGCGGGGGTAGCAGCCTAAGTAGGGAGGCCCAGACTTCCCTCTCCCCAGCCACTTGGGCCAGCTCTTCCGGGGGAATCCCAAGGCGTTCCCAGGCCAGCCGAGAAACATAGTCCCTCCAGCGTGTCCTGGGTTTTCCTCTGGGCCTCCTTCCGGTGGGACGTGTCCGGAACACCTCACCAGGGAGGCGTCCAGAAGGCATCCTAAACAGATGCCCGAGCCACCTCAACTGGCTCCTCTCGACGTGGAGAAAGGGAGGGGTCAGTGAAGAGCACCAGATTTGAGCTTTTTGTCATCCAATGTCTTCAGTAGAAAGAGAGAGACACGAAGAAGCGATAAAGCCGATAAATGAAAATGAGGTAGATAATTTTCATTTATCATGTGATTAATTGATTTATTGTTTATTGCCACAGGCCTATGTTTAGGATTGGCTAAAGCCAAGCTGTTACATGATGTGCAGCTCTACTCCAGCTGTACTGTGTCCTTGAGTACTTGGTAAATATGTTCTTGGTATTCAGAGATCCAGTTGACATGGTAAATCAGGGTGTTGTCCCTCTATATGCGATGGTATTTTAATGCACATGCGCATGTTCTTCCCTCAACTTACCCCAACTCAAAATTTAAGGATAAACTCTCGAGTTTGTTGAACTTCCTTTCTGGAAT